GGGTTTTAGTCCTTGGGCATGCCCTGCGTGAGGCACAGAGAGGGATAAGGAATCGGTTTCTCCCTGTTGGTGCTAATTCAAGTGAGGCTATAGAAAATTTTCACATTCCTGCTCTCTGTGACTGTTTCTGATTGCTGATCCTGCTCCTTCTGGCTCCCACTGAGATGATTTTAGCCTCTGAAACCCCAAGGAAGGCTTTGGTGAAGCCTTTCCCCATGCAGGCACCCAGCAGGAACTGACAGACACCTTTGCTAATGCCACTTCATGTATTTATCTCCTGCCTTTATCTCTCCTTGCAGTGGGTTTTAAAACAAGGTGCTGTGTGAAGATCTTGGGTTTTGCAGTTGTAATGAGCCATATCTAATGAAGATGACAGCAATAAAAATAATAACAACAACTGTGGCTTGCTAGCTCGGCAGAACCATAGTCCCCGCCCTCTTTGTGTGAATGGGGAGTCTCTTTCATGGCTCTGTGTTTTATGGGATAAACTTTGGCCACAAGTTTACATCCTGAGTGAGCTGTTCACAACTGCTTCAATGAATTAACAACAAKGGTCCAATTAAACCCCAAAGAATGCAACCTCTGGAGATGAGGKGGTGCCCATGTGAAGATGTTGCCTAATTAAAGGTGTGAAGTCATTGACTGTGAAGCAGATTGAAGCAGGGAGTGGATCTTATCACACACGAGTGGTGGAACCAGAGATATCAGACCCGAGAAATTAGCATTGCTAATCACGGATGAAAGTGTAAATAACAGTTTATAGTTGAGATAAGCTGACAATGTGTGAGTCTGTCTCTCATTGTTCCAACTGTGAGGGCATCCTGCCTTCCACAAACCCGGTCTGGCACTGGGGAAGGAAAAGTGTAATGTCTAGACAGTAAAACTTCCAGGAAATGCTGTGTACTTAAATGTCTTTTTCCTTCTTTCAGCTCTCTGCCCTAATGTCATAAATCAGCGGCACTTGAGAACCCTGAATTACCTCTTTTACAAGAGATTTGTGGAGGTATGTGCCRTGCTGTGTGCGTGGAATGAAGATTTTTGTTACATTTTCCATAATGCAATTGGGATAATCAAAATCAAATCAATAGTTTAATAGGAAGATTTTCTTGTGACTGTTATGGTATAAAGGTGTAAAGATCCCTTGGATCTGTTTGTTCCATGAATGAACTGTTTGACTATTCAGTTCCTTGCTGTCCTGGTCACTCAGGGCTGGTGCTTTCTCCCCTGAGCATCCTCAGCACTGCTCTGAGACTCTGTGGGTCACTCAGGGTCAGCTCTCCAGCATTCAACYCCTCTCAGCCATCCCAAATAAGCAGGAACATAGTGAATAAAGAGTTTGGGGGGGATTTGTGTGTGGGGGGGTTATTCGGTTTTTTTTTGAAGAACACAAGGTTTTGGATATTCCTCATTTTTGGGTTCTTTATAGGCAATTTGGTGCTTATGGCCAGGCTGTGATAGGTGCAGCCCAAACATGCCACAAGAGTGTTTTTGTGCTGCCAGCCTTGGTACTGCACAAAAAAAGGTTGAACTTCCAGCTCCTGAACCACTCTTTGAACAATGTTTCTTTCTGTTGAGCCTCCAATTTCTCTTCCCAAATCTGCTGGCACTTTTCCTGGCATTGACATCTTGAARGAATAAGAAAATGCCACTAATTCTTTCTGAGGAGCAGATTTCTAGGAGACAGATTCAGTGGGAGATTCAGTGTCTGCAGAATAACTTGTGTGTGGTTCTTCCTCCCCACTGCACCAATTTACTTCCCTTTGGATGCTGCTGAGCACTGGGAACACAGTTACCTCCTTCAGCAGGGTGGGCTTGGGGCTTCTGATAGTCTGGCAKTGACCCTGTGCCTGGGGACAGATGTGCCATCTGGGAGTCAGATCTTGTCTGCCTTTTCTGGAAAAAGCAGCTTGCACCTGGGTATATCTGCTGGACTGTGACAAAGACCACAAAAAATTCAATATCACAGTGAAATGTTTTCATTTCTTGAATTTTGAATTCTCAAGCTGTATTTGCCAAATGTGGAGCAGTGTTTCATCTGCACTTCATAACAGACTTTCTCCCTCTAGATAGAAGAGGGTTTTTCAACAGAGTCTGAGCCCAGCAGGTTTTTCAGATGTCCCTACGGGACTGATAATCCTGCCTTTAGAGAGCCAGAGTTCAGGGAATGAGCTGCCTCCTYCCAAAGCAGTTCCTTTGTTCAGAGAAAGGTTCCTTTGCTGCTCTGACAGCACCAGACAGGTCCATGGATATTTTCTGACCCCACACCCCCATTAGTTTGAACATATGAAGGTGGGGGTGAGTGGTGGTGATCTGATTACATCGTCCTGGCACAGACAGTTTTGCTCCCAAGCCCTCCCAATCCTTCAAGGAAGGCTCTGATCTGTCTTTGCTGCTTGCCAGACCCATTGCCAGAGGAGCTGGAGAGGATGGAGCACTTCAACCCACTCCATCTCAGAGCTTTAATGTTGGATGACATCACTGTAGGGAGCTTGGCCATCCACAGATAGAGCAGAGAGCATTTTTCCAGGTGTATTTGTTTAGCAGAGGGGAATGGATTAGTGATCTGGTGTTCTGCTCTCTGGCCTTCCACTTACTTTGTTTTGGAGAATTTGTTTGATTTAGAGTATCCGAGCTGGCCAGTTTCTTCCATTAAGGTACATTTGGTAGCTGTTTCTGGACAGTCCCTTCTTCTGAGAGCTCTTTGGTGCCCTCTGTTTACCATTCTCAGCTGTGTCTGAGCTCTGGTTTAAAGACTCCTTTATCTCACTAATATTTAAATTACATGCTTGGATATCTCAAAGCTGTTTTCTTTGGGGCTCTTAGACCCTGTTTGTCCTTTGCCTTTCCATGAGAGTGGCACTGCCACTCCCTGTTCCATCTGCCAGTTCTGGGATGAGATTCATGGTGGGGCTCATGCARTTCCTGGCAGAGTGGAGAGCAGGTCCCATCCTGAGTTTCTCCCCAAGTTTGGCTCTGAACTGCATTCAAATGGGAATATTAACTTACCAGTTTTCTTTCCCAGGCCTCATGATTCCAGAGGATTTTTCATGACTTGGCTGTTGARAAGAACTGTATTTTTCTATTCTAAGGCTCAGCCTTCCAGATGATCCCTGAGATCCCTCCCTTTCCTGGAGCYCTCAGGATGGCTCTCCACAGGCTACCTGGAGACATGAACACTCTGGGAACATGCTGCATGTGAATTTTCATGCTTTCTGTGCTGTGGTGTTAGARTTCCCTGAATTCCCCATCCCAGCTGTGCTGTTCTGCCTTGCCCCAGCTGGAGAYCTGGAGGAGCTGAGGTACCCTGTGTGCTCCAGGGTGCGTTCCTTGGTCACGGGTGATGCCAGTGGAACAATGGGGTGTTCATTTCTAGTTGGCTGTATGGAACATCCTCCCTTTCCTGAGAAGGCTCAGGAGTGACTTTGTCTTTTCAGAAAACCATGACTGAGGAGAATTGGGCAGATCACATTCAGGTGAGTACAGATTTTTCCCTCCTGCTTTCTCAGGGTTATTCAACTGGAGGTTTTTTTAAGAATATCCAGCCCTGGATATTGTGGTCCTGCTATCACAGTTCTGCACTTTCTCAATACTTTGGAAGCAGAATTGTAAATGCAGGGAAGGGCAAGGGAGAATGGTTATATTTTAATTCCTGTTATGTCTTTGAAAATACTTTAGTTTGGCTGGAGCCAAACTACAATGTTTGGACAATGCTCTCAGACACAGGGTGAGATTGTTGGAGTGTCTGTGCAGAGCCAGGAGTTGGACTCAATGATCCTTGTGGGTCCTTCCAGCTCAGAATATTCCATAGCTCTGGGATTCTGTGATTTAGATAAGATTATCAAGTACATCCTTTTACTTTCCTGCACTTACTTGTAAGTGAATGCTACAAGTATTTGCTTTGATTAATGAYAAGGAAGGGGAAAAGCAGCTGTTCTTCAGCAGCTAGCAAGGTGTGGGAGGAAACTGGGAGAAATGTTCAGTTCTCTCTGCATGCTCTGACTATTTTCAACAGGTGTCTGTTGGATGTTGTGACCTCTCTGTCTGGTGCTGCAGGATACAAGTGACTTTAATAGCACAAGGAGAAGGGAGTAGAGTGGGKTTTTTTTCATGTATAAACAAGAGAGTTTAGGCTATCATGGTCTGCCCTGACCCTGCAATAAATCCAAATGTGACAATGAAACAGCACCAAATTCCATGGTGATAAACCAGCAGTGGTTATTTATGTGCCCATGATTTTCCTATGGAATTGCAGCCTCATGGTGGGTGTTTGCTCCTRTTCTGTAACTCTCAGGTTGAATKCTGCAGCCATTAGGAATTTCTGAAYGGTTGGCATGGGCTGAGTGGGAGCAGGCCAGACTGATGATCTCGGATTTGAGGGCACAGCAGCAAAGCAACAGGACTGTTGGRTTCTGATGTGCAGGTCCAGGGGTTGGACACAGTGATCCTTTTGGATCTCTTGCTCTCAGGAGATTCCATGCTCCCGTGATTCTAACATCTGGATGTGCTTTGGTGTGTACAGTGCAGGGGTTTCTGTTGCCAGTGGAGTGTGGGACAGACCTCCCATGTCCCCACTTTGAAGACAGGAGGCTCAGGATACTCTTCTGGGAAGTGCACGTGTGGTGCCTGGTGAGCCCTGAGAGCACAGAGCTGCATCCTGCACTGGAGCAGAGTGTTGTCTTTGCTTTCCAAAGGATTCCAAATGCTCTATTTCCTGCTCGTTGCCAACTGATCTATTTTTCACAACTGTGTAATTATCAGCCGAGTGGTGCTGAAACTTGCCTGTTACCAGCCTGACTCCATGCTATCAGARATCCCTGTCTCTGGCATCACTTAAAAGCAATAGGAATCTGTGCCTGTGCATCTGCAGGAAGCTGAAATAACAACCCGTGCAGGCTGGTGGCTGCTGTTGGCAGGAAAAGAAGGCAATAAAAGAAGGAGCTTTGAGCAAGTTTTGGTTTTTAGTGCAAAAMCGAAGGTTTTTCAGGAGTTTATGGTTTGGGAAGGTTGGCCTTTATAGGAGGGAATGTCTCAAATTTCACTCAGAGCTTCATAGAATCACAGGATCACAGTGTCTGGATTGGGTTGGGAGAGATCTTAAAGCCCATCCAGTGCCACCCCCTGCCATGGCAGGGACACCTCCCACTGTCCCAGGCTGCTCCAAGCCCCAATGTCCTTGGGCACTGCCAGGGATCCAGGGGCAGCCACAGCTTCTCTGGGCAGCAGCTTCACAACAGGTCAAGGCTTTACCTGTTACCTGACATGTTTTGAYCAAAAAAAGTCCTTAGGCTCCTTGTGGAGCTGAGGAGACCTGACATTTGTATGTCCCATCCTTGTGTTCAGCTGAGGCTCAAAGATCGTTTGGATTTCCCAAGCTCTGCCTTGCAAGGCACTATTAAGGACAGGAGGCAGAGGATGGGACACAATGTGCCCTCTGGTCATCGAGGAGAATAGGAATCAACACTGCCAAAAAGACTCCATGATGGCAAACTCTCAGTCAGAATTATTTTTAATTGTTTCAACGCTTTTTTCAATTTGAAGTTCAAAGAGTTGAAAGTCTTCATGGGATTAAAGACCATTTTGTGAAAATTCTCTACTGCAGCCATAAAAAAAGTCATAAATTATATAGATATGACTAGCCCTGGTGATTATATAGATAAAGATAACAGGAATTATAGAGATATCAGGAACTCTGGTGAAGGTGGGACTGTTCTTGCTTGGAGCTTGCCATTGTAGGCCAATGGCATTTTGGGACTGATATTTCCTTTCGTATGCCCTGAGCAGTTCAAGTACAGATTTTTCCTGTTCCTGCTGTGGGGGATGAATCCTAGGTATGATCCTGGCTGCTCCTATAAAATGCACAAACTCAGGAGTTAATTGTGGGGCCAATAGAACCTGTTTCCAGCCCTGCAGCAAACAGGTTTTGCCCCCTGTGCCTGCCAGCACCCAGTGGCTGTGCCAGTGTCCAGGCAGGGGTGGCAGAGAAGGCAGGAGGGGAAGGAAGAGGGATCCAAAACTTCCCACCCTAAGGCTGCCCTGAACCCCACTGGCTGCTGCAGGCCTGGTTAGCCAGGARGAAAGCTGCTCCTTGCAGCACCTTCTCCAAGAGGAGCTGCCTGGAGGGCAAGGGGAGGGGAAGAGACTCTCCCTGCCCAGTGCCAGCTGCTCCTCACTGCCATCCTGACTGCTCCCAGGCTGCTGGAACACACAGGAGTGCCTGTCCTCACCAGCACAGGGGAAGGTGTGCAGGGTATTGATGGTGGATAGGTGGGGAACAGGCAGGGCATGAGGCTCCTGTCTGCTTTCTGTGTGCCCTTCTGCTGCCATTTTCCYGTGCTTTGTGTTTGTCATGGTTTCATCAGCTGCACAAAGAAGGTGGAACTGCACTGCTGGTCTGTGGCTCTGCTCAGATGTGTTCAGGGTGGTCCTGCCAACGGCTGTGAGAGGGGCTGTGGAGGGCAGATGTTCCCCTGGACATCCAGAAYCACACTGAAACTAAAATGCATGGAAGGAGTTGTTCCATGCCAGGCTTTCAAGAAGCAAAGCACAGGGAACTGTGACAGCAATGAGGAGCCCAGTAGGGGAATGGCTCTGGTGGAGCTGTCACCTCTGCCAGGGCTTAGGTGTCAGATCGTGCCTGTGACACTTGCAGGAGGTCAACAGCATGACATGGGCCCTGCTGAGGAGCACTTCTGTCTCAGGCCAGCTGGAACACCAGGACATCTCCAATAGCACCAGACACCTGCCTTTTGGTGACCTGAAATGYCCCAGTTGGACACAGAACTCGGGTCTAGGAGGCTTCTGTTGCCCCACTCTCAGTGCTGTTTTCTCACCAGTGTTTTGCGGCCCATCTCACCAGTGTAGATGGGCCCCTTCAGCTGGGCTGATCAGTGCCAGATCAGTTTAAAATATTTTCTCAAACATGCCAAGAACTTATACCAAGAAATCTGTTTGGCCTTTGCTGCTGTGAAACTCCTTCTGCTGCAGAGCAGAACAGGGTGACACTGCACAGCACCGCAGCTCTTGCTGGGGACAGTGACTGGAACCAGCACTGGCAGGGTTCACACCCACTGGTTTATTTGGGACTGTCAGTGTTACAATCACTGTGAGGTGTCCAGGATAGGGGATGGGTAGAAATGGGATTTTCACTTTTACTGACCTTCAGCCAAAGGGCGTTTTGCTACTACATGCCAAACCGTTCTGTGCTGTGTTTGACAGGGAAACTATCCCTTAACTTCTCAACATGAAAAATCTGAGGCCCTTGCAAAACTGGTGCTCAGACAAGCACTGCTGTTTGTAAAGATGTCACTTGTYTCCTGGGTGCTCCTGGGGAGCAGGGGCCTCTTGTTCAGGGTGAGAGGAAACAACCTCAAGAGGCACCAGAGGATGTCTTGATTAGGTATTAGGAAAAATTTATTTTCATGGAAAGGGTTGTGAAGCACTGRCACAGGCTGCCCAAGGCAGTGKTGGGGCTACCATCCCTGAAAGTGTTAAAAAAATGTGTGGATGTAGCACTTGGRGACATGGGGTAGTRGTGAACAGGGTGGTGGTACTGGGTTCAAGGTTGGACTTGATGATCTCAGAGGACTTTTTCTACCTTTGCCATTCCATGATTCTGATTCTGCCCTGSTTGGGACCGCTCTGGCCCTGGTGTGTGGTTTGAGAGGAGGCTCCAGGGTTGCACCTCCCAGAAAAGTGCCTTCATTTTCCTCAGGCTCCCATTCTGCAGCTCTTCAGTGTGTTCTGGGCTTGCTTGAGGATGCAGAGATGGGGTCTGGGGGCAGCTGTTTCCCGTGTTCTGCACAGGGAGAGCCTGCAGCTGATCTCTGTCCTGCTCCAGCAGGGACACTGAGATAATTTATTTATTTTAARATTTCTGACCATGAAAATCAAGCACTGTGCCAGCTCCTTCTCTGGGTGAGCAGGGGTCAGATTCTGGTAATTCCTGGGAAATGTAGAACTCCAGTTTTACTACAGTTCAAGGATTGTTATGCTGCTTACAGATAATATTCAGTAATCTGCCCTTCTTTCTGTGCCATACACAGGAAAAACTTCGACAATTCCTGGTACTTAATAGGTGTAAATTACCTTACACTGCAGCAAGGAGTTGATGTACTCTTATTTAGTTGACCAATTAATTTCTAAGTGGCTGATGCCAAGATTCTTTCTGTACAGGACCATTTTGACTTTAAAACACAGCTACCTCTAGAATAGAATGCAATAGCTGTTACACTCAAGGAGGGAATTTTTAAGGGAAATTTAAAGGGCAGAATGCTATTTATTTTTCCAAAGGTTTTTTTTGTGGCCAGAACATCTGGTCAGGACTCYTGCTCTGGGGAGCCTTGAATAAGGACAAGGTGTCAAGAAGATCACTTTGAAAATACCCACATCCAGTGTCCTTCCCTGGCACCCCTGAGTTTAGGAAAACTCTTCAATTGTTTTGAGTACATCAACATCTTGCAGTGTGAGGAACTGG